GCTCCTCGCACATGTGCTGAGCTCTAACTACTTCCGGTTTGGAGCGCAGGTGTACCACCAGAAGGATGGTGTGGCTATGGGCAATAACCTAGCGCCCCCCCCCCCCCCTTGCCATCCTGTACATGCATGACCTAGAGAGTTCGCTCTTGCGTAGTGCACCTGCCAGCCCAGTTCTGTACAAGCGCTACATCGATGATGTTTTCATTGTGTGGAACCTCGGTCCGGAACTTCTGCAGAGTTTCCTAGATCACTTCTATAATGCTGATCCTAATATTAAATTCACTCACCAATCCACGGAGTTGACTGGCTCAATCAATTTCATGGACACGACCGTCCATGTCTCACCAGATGGATCTATATCCTATGAACTATACCGCAAGCCATGTCACAGCGGACTGGTATCAGACTACAACTCGTCAGTTCCCAACCAGCAAAAGAAAGCAATTGCTTCCTCTGAGTTCCTGCGTGCCGTCCGTCTATCCTCCGATGCTGACACCCTCAAAAGAAGTGAAGAAAAAGTAACCAACATCCTAAAATTCAACAACTTCCCAGAGTCATTTATAGTTTCGGCACGTGAACGAGCTATGCGCCCCCGACGTGGCAGAGTGTAGAATGAATACCGTGTCACCCTCAACCTACCGTTTCACACCGAGTATATCCACAACAAAATTCATGAATTTCTCCGGAAGTACAAGATAAATGCCCAGCTGATCAACAGGAACCGCCGTCTAAGTTCTATGATTTGCACGTCTGCCCTCCGCAAACCACCATGCTGCAGGTATGTAGACCCGTCCAAGCCCCGTAAACGGGGGCGGCCCAAAGCTGCTTGTGTCGCCTGCATGTCCGATTCAGAAGCATGCACAGAGCGAAACGTCGTATACCACCTCGAGTGCAAACGTGGTGATAAATATGTCGGAGAGACGTACCGCAGCCTCGCCACCAGGACAAAAGAACACAACGACGACGCACGCAACACAGTGAGCGGCACCGCGCTGGGTGAGCATTTCGCAGCCAAGCATGCATCTGACCCATTGCCATTGGGAGCAACGGCCTTCTCGGGTATCCGGGTTCTTGGTTCTGAGCGTGACCGCCCCAGGAGGAGGATCCGGGAGGCCATCAACATCAGGGAGCGATCCCCGGAAATCAACAACAACAGTGGTTGGGATCTGCTATAACACCACCTGTGCGGCCTTATTGGCTTCTAGCATGCGTTCTGGGTGATGCACTCGGCACATGTGTGTGGGCAATGCATGCATTCAAGTGCCTTGGCTACCACCTTTTATGGAGTATGCTCTTCCACATTCTACCATGGTCTGCAATCATCTTTCTTGCTCAGCTACCTTTAGCATCATGCATGGGATGTTGTTGTACTGACCTGTGCGCTTTGCCGGCGTTGAATACAGCTGTTATTTACTGCGAGTGGCGCGGGGCTCTACACACCTCACTGGTGGTGTGAGACTGGAACTGGGCGTGTATCACTGCTGTAGTGCAGTATCTACTTTCCTCGCCGTTTGTGCTTGTGTTGTCATGTATATGTAGTAATGCACACCCGCCATGACTTGCTTTGCACTTCTCTACGCGCGCTGTCACTATGTACCGCGCTTTGCTTGCTTGCCTCCTTCTTTTATACTGCTGTTCTTTGCATGTCCACTTCATTCCTGATGATGGTCATAAAGACCGAAACGTTGTAACGATACCAATGGATTTGTGTGAAATGCAGTGCTCTCTTGAGTGTAGGCAGGTTGCCTGCAAACGATTCAAATACAAGTAAAGTAAAGACATCACCAACCGCGTTACCACCGGCCTAGAATTGTTTTGAGAATCAAAACCAGCTTAGAGAAGTTTCGCTCGTGCCTGACACGAGCGAAACTTCTCTAAGCTGGTTTTGAATCATTTACTTTACTTTTATTGTGCGCTCAATATAGCACAGGGTACGTGATTTTACCAGTGTGGCCAGATGCAGCACCATAAACGGCGAGGGTGAGGTGGTAAATCTCACGACCAATGCCTGATAAGGGGTTGAACTTCGTTAGCTGCATCTATGTACCCTGAGTACCCAGTTGGCCGTGGATGTCGATATGCACGAGGAAAATTGGAAAGAAAACAAAGCCTGCTTACTCCGAATTGAGCTGGTGGCTTCAGATGGCCATGCTGTGGAGCACCTGTGGGCGGTGGTGGAAACATGGGTATCTCCGGCAGACCACCTTCGTTATCGCCCTTTATCGGACTGCGTGTTAGCTGGAGGAAAGGAACATGAGGCAAAAACAATTCAGTCTTCAGCAAGAAAAGGGGGCTTGTCAACTAACAACCACTCTATTTAGTTGCTATTCATAATCGTCGAACGCACTGGATTAAAAATCCTTTATTGTGATGTCAAAGATTTATGACTTTTCTTCAGTAGGAAGTTAAAACCGACCTCGCCCATCATTACATTCGTAACAATTATTTCCGCATGTAATTTTCAAGAGAGGATCTGCTAAATAAGTTCTCCATATGCTGATACAGTGGACTTAGGCGATGACATTGTACTGGTCTGTGATAGAGCATAGTGCGTATGTCTGTCTTCAGCTTTTTGAAAGGGGGAATACAACAGAGCAAAAAAAATGTTGCCTGATGATTGCGAAAGCATGAAACTTCAAGTCGCAGCAAACAAGCCTCGATTGCCCTCGTGGTTCTGTATTACTCTCTGGCTCCGCAGTGTTGAGCATTGTCAGCACACTGGGTGCATCCTCCGGTGAAAGGGTGAATATTATCAGTAACAAGACCTGGAGTACCCGTAACCCCTTCGTTGTTTGGAATTATTGGTGTGTGTGTGTGTGTGTGTGTGTGTGTGTGTGTGTGTGTGTGTGTGTGTGTGTGTGTGTGTGTGTGTGTGTGTAATTTGCTACAAAGGGTAGCAACTTGTCAGCAGTGGGAGTGCATGGAGGAGAAGAGGAGGAGAGATTGTTGCATTATTGAACAGCCGAATGGTACCGCTCACAGTTTTATCGATTTCCCTCAAACCAATGATTTTTTTCTTAACTATAATTCTACTCCTTCTCTTCATTTCTATTTGAACATTTCCATTTGGATCAATGTAAGAACAACAGCGACGACAATAACATCGTGAGGATAAAGATTTGAAAAAGCAGCAGCAGCAGCAGCCACAATAGCAGCATATGCAGCAGCAGCATATGCAGCAGCAACAGCAGCAGCCACAACAGCAGCATATGCAGCAACAGTAGCAGCTAAGGTGACGACAAGGAAAACAACAATAAGAACAACAACTTCAGAACCGTTAGCTCACCACATCGTATTTGGTTTGAAGCATGGAGTCACGAGCAATGCAGATGGCTGCTGGTGCTGGATCATCTCCCTCCTCATCCTCCTCTTCATCTTCCTCCTCACCCAGGGAATAGCGCTGTATGTATGCAAGCACATAGTTGTAAAAAAAAGACACCAATAATGTATTAAGCACATCATACGCTATAATGTCCGTTAGCCCCATCCCTCACACAAACAAGTCAACAAAGAGGCATCTTTGGATTGAGGAGTGCTGGTTTCAAAACAAGTGGTTTGAAGCTCAAAGTAGAGCTGCTGTTAGCTCAGAGCAGAGCTGCTGTTAGCTCAGAGCAGAGCTGGTGTTAGCTCAAAGTAGAGCTGCAGTTAGCTCAAAGTAGAGCTGCTGTTAGCTCAAAGTAGAGCTGCAGTTAGCTCAAAGTAGAGCTGCTGTAAGCTCAAAGTAGAGCTGTGATTAGCTCAAAGAAGAGCTGCTGTTAGCTCAAAATAGAGCTGCTGTTAGCTCAAAGTAGAGCTGCTGTTAACTCAAGGTAGAGCTGCTGTTAGCTCAAAGTAGAGCTGCTGTTAGCTCAAAGTAGAGCTGCGGTTGGCTCAAAGTAGAGCTGCTGTTAGCTCAAAGTAGAGCTGCTGTTAGCTCAACATAGAGCTGCCATGCTAAATGGATGTAATATAGCGCAAGGCAGAGCCGCAGCAAATAGCTAGATAACACCGGTTGTGAGAGTGGACCCGATTAGTGGGTACGATAATTTTAATGATGATGTGAATAAGTTGGATAGGGAGGTATGGTGGGAAAAGAAACACGGCTGAAGCACGATCCGTTGTCTGGAAGAGCACAGCAGGGCAAGCAAGATTTGTTTTTCTTTTCAGCAAAACGGGCTGGTGCCATTTGTGATTACACAGCAAAACAAAGCGCATGACGTCAGTCTTGAGTGCAGTACAAAGCAATGCAGTGCAGTGCGTGGGCTAGTTCGGATTGTTGCTAACAAGTACTAGCACAGCTAGTAGACCATTCGTATGTGTAGTATAATACATTCTCGCCTTGCTGTCTGCTTGTTTGTGCCTCCTTCTATTCCATTTTTTCACACCGCTTTAGGAGCTGCATCTGCGCCTTGATCCATAGAGGGCGGCAGCGCTCCTACGGATGCGGAAAACTCGATCTCACGCGAGCCGTGAATTTCGTCCTTCCATCATTATTTAGTTATTTTCTTACATTCCATGGTCCGCTATCACCCCACTCTCGCTCTATGTGTGCCAATTGGTCATCGACCAGGAGTTTAGTGAAATGAGATCTCTTTAAAGTAATGCTTCAAACGTACCTCGTCATTCTTGATCTTGCGTACAGTTGACAGGAGTGAGTCCTGCAGCCGGTTCAGCTCCTCGATCTGGCCACTAAGCGTGGGCCGCAAAGCAGTGTGCTGTGGGTAGACCAATTGAAGATCATAAGAAAAAAACAGAGCTCCAAGAATCAGTTCCAGAATGAGAACCCAAAGTGGTCAGGTTATTTTGTATGCAAATGAACCTGCTCCTCAGAGATTTCATCAGCAATTTTGAAAGACAGCAATGCCTACTGCATTGATAAGCAGCGTTTTTTGTTTCTTTCTCTTTTCAACTATGTTCACATAGCCAGCTCGAAAAGAATAGAGAGGTTCCGTACTATGTAAAGTTGAGCAACTTTACGTTAGGGGGTGGGAAAACCCGTGAATCCGCGAGTTTGCACTCCA